TTCAGCAATCTTTCCAATGCCTCTTTGAGCTCATGCTTGTATGTTTCATGTTTTATCCAATGACCTTTTGATCTCAGCAAAGATGATCTGAATCTACTTGTACTTATATAGGTAACAAAAATGTAAGATTTTTCAACATATCAAAGAATATTCACGGAAAGTCATATTTAGACAGGTTAAACAACCAGCTGTGAAAAAATGCTAAAGTATTAGAGGTTCTAGTTAGGCTTGTTTTTACATCATGGATTCAGGCTTGAATTTCCTATTTACAGTTTTGGGGCATATTGACAAAGTGTCAATGTTCTACAATCCATAATTTTTCTTGAGACCATCAGAACCCTTCCTGGTTACAAAAAAAAAACAACACTAAAAAAAAAAAAGTAACTTGGAGAAGATTACAAGTGTTTGGGATTGTTTGTAATAAGTAACTTCCTTCATGGGAATAGCTCTGCTAAATTTTCTGCTTATTTCCTTCTCAAAGCTGCTTCTGCACAGTATTGCTAGTTCTCTCAAGATCTGAATCTTTTTTTTACCTGAATAAAGTTCAGGAACACTGAGTATCTTGTATGAACTAGATTCCTTTCATTGCACTGCTTTTGTCAGCATGAACATTCACTGGTTTTACAGCTACTTGCCATCAGATACTTTTGCTGCTTTTAGTTAACTCTGTTTTGGTACCAGATGTATATCAGCTCCTCCATAATCTTGTACAGAATTATGCAAAAAAGTATCCCAGTTGTGGTTTGGGTTCTTCACTTCTGAGTGTAGTCTTAACTGATGCAGTGGTCTCTGTCATGACACATTGTTGTTCTTCAATATGAAGATCTGGATTAGGATACAAGTATAAGCAATAGTACTTTATCTTAAGTATCATTCTGTTGCCTGAAACTAAGGGGTCACTTTGAGGATTTTTCTTCCTTTTGGGTAATTCTGTTGTTTAATCTAGTTGAGTGGACATGAAGGCTGGTATTTTGGAAGACACAATTATAACTAAATCTTAAAAAATCAGAAAAAATAACGTATTGCTTGAGTGGATCTGTTACTCAGACCATCTGTTTTAGTTTATCAGCCAGGAGAACCTAGGAGAGGACAGCAGTTGTGAAACTGGTCTCTGCCTTAATTGATGGTTCTGATATGGTTTGGGAAGGTAGAGATGTGACCACAATCATTCCCTTGTCTGAAGCAGGCTTTCTGGTTTACACTATGCTTTAATTCAAAGGTCTGAAGTTATAGAAAAATATGGCCTGAAAGATCTCTGCACAGGGCTAGTTGCTAAATATATTTATATCATAAATGAACATACAGATACATTCTGTGTCGAAGAGCAGTGAAGAGTAAAATGTGCTTGGGCACAATTCAGGTAGAGAACATCATTAAATAATTGTGCATAGACTAGCATTAAGAACTGCTCTGTGGTGTCTAGTGGCATTTATGTCAGCTCCTGTGGCAGTAACTATGGCCTTGTATTAAATCTCGTCAGAGTTCTGAGGATGCCGTTTTTGCTCTAAAAAACAGAATTCCTGATTTCCATGAAATTCAGTTGAACTCACTGTTCTTTGGTTTTAGTAAATCTATTAGGTTTGAAGATTATCTGTTAGAATGATTTCCATCTTCTATCAGTTCTTTAGTGAAGCCATTCTTTTTATGTTGCTGAAGATATCCATATTTCCCTCATTTGTGACAAATAGAAGTTACTTATGACAAACAGGCCACAGAAAGTGGGGTTTTGAGGGGGAGAGGGACACAATACAAGATATTTGGGCTATTTCTTAGTCCAAAGCAGAATGATTTATTGCATTTGCACTGCATTACATAATTGATGAAATGTATCAGAAATAAGAGGGAATTTTAAAATTCTGTTCTTTAGCTTTATGCTAAGAAAGATGTGCAAGAGTGAAAGAAAGGAAAGAAATACAGGTGAAGGTGATAGGGAAGCAAAAGCATACTCCAAAGGGTAGCACTGAAGGAAGTGTGTATTATTTTATTTAGTAAGTTAGTAATGTGGCTGTATTTTGCCTCTTAGCTAGTACAGTGATAAAAAATGGAGTTATGCTGATGTACACCAGCCTTGCAAGTTTTTGGTACCATTCACTATGTTGGTGTGTTATGTTAGTATGTGGCTGCTTTGCAGAATTTTAAGGAGCCTATTCTAGCTGGTTGAAGGATTCTGTCCAGCTCATAGCCTCACTAGATCCTTTCAGCTTGTGAGAGGCTTTTTTTTGTTGTGGGTTTTTTGAGGGGGTTTGTTTGGTATGGTTTTGGGGTTTTGGTTTGGTTTTGGGTGTTTTTTTGGTATTTTTGTGTTGGTTTTTTGTAAGGAAATGTTATTTATAACTCAATTATCCTTTCTTAAGGTTGTATGTCATATACACTGAACTAAAATGGTTTCCTCCCACCCCCTTCAGATGCTTAAAGACCAATACCTTGGCTACAGGAAAACCTTTCTGGGAGATGCCATGGATGTGTTTGAGGCCAGACGAGCAGAAGCTAAGAAGTGGCAGAGCGCGCCACGTGTTACCACAGGACCGACGCCTTTCAGCAACATACCAAATGCAGCAGCCGTTGCCATGGCTGCAACACTTACTCAGCAGCAACAGCCTGCTACAGGTCTGAGTGCATTCAAGTTATAGATTATTAGTGTTACAACAATAGTAAATTTGTGTAAAATTTTCTATGAAGTCTTCCTTTGTGTTAGACTAAAAATCTAAACATTGTGATGAGCAAAGTTCCTGATACATAGCCAATAGAAAAATGCAGGGTAGACTTAGCAATAATCATACAACAAATACTTAATCTTGTGAATTTACTTGTATTAGTGGTATTTACTGTATTCTAACTTACCCTTTGGAATGTGAGTCTTCACTCTTAACTAACATCTCTGAATACACATCGTATAGCCTCTTTCCAGAATTCTGTAGTTATAGTAAATTATTTCAAATTGGTGAGGAGAGAATATCTAAATGCATATGACCTTCTTATGTAAAATTAATAATGCATTTTTATATAGCACTTTGGAACGGTAAAAGGAAAAATGCTGTAGAACAGGAAGAATAGCGGAGCAAACAGCTGTAGAATAGGAAGGTGAATGCCTGACGTATTTTTTTATAGGCAGCTTCTTTGTCAGAGTGATGTTGGAACAGTTTTTGCTGGCCATCCTGCTGTTACAAATAGAGAAAGTAGAGCGGATCAGTGGTTCTGTGTGTGCATGTGTGTAAGAGGAAGACAAAATAGAGAAAATGCAATACCCACTGCTAAGGAAGAATGGATACATATAGCAAAGAAAATAACAAGTCACCATAAGTCATGTCATTATACTAACCAACACTTCTCAGAGAGAGTTCTCTGAGTGTAGATAATTTAATTAATATTTAATCGTTTAAGAGAAATAAGATAAACTTTCATTTTAATTTAGTGGGGATATGTCTATATCAGCAAATTATGAAAACCATACCTAACTTTATTCTACCATTTATTTTCTAAAATACTGTTTATCATGGGTGTACTGGAAGTCATATTAGCACCTTTTCCTTCTTTCTTCTTACAACAGCAGTCATATTTTGAATGACTTTAAGGCATATGCAGCAACCACCCTAAATCTGACAAATTATTAGGGTGCCCTTGCCTTCTCCATTGAAGGAAAACAGAATGTGCTTCCAGCCCTGGCCCTTACAAACAGCAAGGAGATGGGTTAAAAGAGAACAATATAAAATGAAGCATTTATGAAGTATTTCTCTTCCAAATTTCCATCATAGACTATAGTCTTCTGTTGCTCCTAAATTAATCTGGAAATCCTGTTGAAGTGACATCTGCAAAAGAGTCTGGTTTTAAGCAGAAAACATAACGTTATGTCACGCTCCAGGGTTTTTAATATATACAGAAGTGTGGGTTGTGCAGCCTAACATGTTACCAAAGTAGTTCCATCTTTCTCCTTGTCTTATGTTGGTTTTTTTTTTTAAGAAAACTCCCTAGGGTCATTCAAGGATTAGCTGGGTATGAAAGTCATACATGTGGGATGTCACATTTAAAGTTTTACCTGCATTTTCATGAATTGCGGTGAGGGAACTCTCTCTTCCTAGTCCAGATTAAAGAGAACTGCTAATACCTTCAGTAAATTGATGCCATTTATGGCATGATTTAGTGAATACTCTCTTAGGAGTAAGAGTGAAGAGGTGGGGGTGGAGGCAGGGGGAGGTGTAATATGCCTGTACCAACATGTCAGAGGTAAGGTGACTTTGTACCTTGAGGTGTTTTGTAGTGAAAGGAGGAAATGGGATTGTGTGTAGGTTGGTTTTGGGTGGGGGTTTTTTGTTTGGTTTCAAATGCCTAAAATGTGCCAACTACAAAAATGTTGCATATAGAACAAAGCCATTAACTTATGTCAAACATGCCAACAAAAGTAAACGAGTTTGTTTACTACTTAGTTGGAGTATTGTTACCTTGCATACAACTCACTTGAGGACCTGGAGAAACAAACTTAGATTGATGTTTTGAGTGGCACTTGAAGACTACTTAAAACTCTTAAAAAGCAGGGTTAGATGGAACTTGTAGTCCTCTTTTCTCTTCCTCTAGCTCAAAAACCAGGATTATTCAGGCCTGAACAGTTCCAGAGAGATTTGAAGTCTTAAAGGCTTGCCAGAAAGGAAAATTTCAGAGCTTTCCTAAGTTACTGATTTTGGTGTTAGACTTTTTCCCAACAGCTTACCTGAAACAACTTAGGTTCAGATTAAGATTGCCACTTTTTGTCTTACTCTTAGTGGAAAAGGAGAAGAATCTACTCTTGATTTTGTAGGAATCTTTAAATATTTAAAGACTGTGTCCTCATAATTTCCTTGTTTCAGTTTTCTAATGGTCATTTGCTGCAGTAAAACTGCAAATTGCTTGCATGTTTTAGCATTGTGTTCTAAGAATTTGGTGAACTCTGCTAGACGTTAAAATCATGCATATTTCTTTGCAAGATACAGATCCTGAAGAGTGGGTTATATGCATGATACTAGAAGGTTATGAGAAAAAAAAAATCATGAAATGAGGTGTATATAAAAGGAGGGCAGGGGGGTGTCTGTGTAATACCTGACCTGCTGTTGCTGTTCTTGAAGATGAGAATAAAATAAGAAAATTAATCTGGACTTTCAAGTGTTTTACTGAAATCTAACATATGGTACTCTAGTATTGAGGGATCAGAATGGTTAGTCTCTTTTTTAAAAATTATGTTTACATGGTTAAGTTTATTTCATAATATTAATTCAGAGTTAGTTACTGTTCTTTCTTTGAAAAAAAGATTTATATTTGTGTTCAAAAGTCAAAGGTTTAGTAGCTACATCTATGCTGTGGGATCAGGGAATGTTTCTCCAGTTCCTGGGTGTAGATATGCACCCTGTTTATGTTCTCTCTGTATTCCAAGATGTCTGGCTTTGATGTAAATAAATAAAGCTAGTGGATCCTGGCCATGTGGAAAAAAGGGAGCAAAGATGCACTCCACTGATCTCCTGGGATGGATAATCTGGACACCAGGACTGTGGCGTGCACACTGAAGCACAATTTTTGTGCAGTTTTTTGAACCTAGAGTTATTAAAATTATGCTTAAGTGTTGTCTGCACATGGCCTTTCTCCCTAGTTTAGCACTTCTGCTCTGAGCACAGCTTTACTGGTGGTAGCAGGGAGGCTGGGTGTGCTTTTGTGCAGTAGCAGCTAGAGTTTTAACCAGTGCCTCACCTGTACCTTCCCTGAGCAATTTGGAGTAGAGTGGAAGTTAAAATGGTGGTTCCTAGTCTACCTGGTTTTATTGATGAGGCTAAATTAAAACATTTTTTTAGAGGAAATTAAAGCCTAGTGAACTAAGAGCTGTAAATCAAAGAGGCTGAAACTGGTGTTTTTCTGGAAAGACTAAGTTGTCTTAAAAATAAATGCTTTCCTTCAACCTTCTATGAAAATAAATGAAGTAAACCCCCAACAACTTAGTTACTCTCTCCTTAACTGGTGAAGTACAGAGTTAGTTGAATTATTATCAAGCTAGCAGCACTTGGTTATGTTTTGACTTGACTTTGTATGAGATTGAACTGCTGATAGGAAAGGATACCGAAATATTTACAGCACTTACAGTTTTTATTGTGTAATTTGATAGTAATATTGGTTAAAGTTAGTCAGTGTGTTACTTTGTCAGAATCAGATTTAAGTTGTGACTCTAAATTTGCTCACTGTTAAAACTGGCTAAGATTTAAAAATATGCAGAAGGCTGCTTCAGGAATCTGGCTGACCTGTCTGGACTCCTCCTTAGTGGGCCCTCCTCTTTAAACTGAAATGCTCTACTGAGCACATAAAATTTTAAAATGTTGAAATAGTTATTAGAAATAATTTGTCTCAAGAATTTGTCTCATACCTATACTAGCCAGAAGTGCCAATTTTTTCCTAGTACTTTTGGCATTGAAGAATCTTCATTTCTAGTTTTTTGCTATTGAGAATTTTTTACTTAGAAGAAGTCTAAATAGCAGTGATGCCTTCACAACATTATGGTACAAAATCAAGAAATATTCAAGTGTTTTACTGAAATCTAACATATGGTACTCTAGTATTGAGGGATCAGAATGGTTAGTCTCTTTTTTAAAAATTATGTTTACATGGTTAAGTTTATTTCATAATATTAATTCAGAGTTAGTTACTGTTCTTTCTTTGAAAAAAAGATTTATATTTGTGTTCAAAAGTCAAAGGTTTAGTAGCTACATCTATGCTGTGGGATCAGGGAATGTTTCTCCAGTTCCTGGGTGTAGATATGCACCCTGTTTATGTTCTCTCTGTATTCCAAGATGTCTGGCTTTGATGTAAATAAATAAAGCTAGTGGATCCTGGCCATGTGGAAAAAAGGGAGCAAAGATGCACTCCACTGATCTCCTGGGATGGATAATCTGGACACCAGGACTGTGGCGTGCACACTGAAGCACAATTTTTGTGCAGTTTTTTGAACCTAGAGTTATTAAAATTATGCTTAAGTGTTGTCTGCACATGGCCTTTCTCCCTAGTTTAGCACTTCTGCTCTGAGCACAGCTTTACTGGTGGTAGCAGGGAGGCTGGGTGTGCTTTTGTGCAGTAGCAGCTAGAGTTTTAACCAGTGCCTCACCTGTACCTTCCCTGAGCAATTTGGAGTAGAGTGGAAGTTTTATTGATGAGGCTAAATTAAAACATTTTTTTAGAGGAAATTAAAGCCTAGTGAACTAAGAGCTGTAAATCAAAGAGGCTGAAACTGGTGTTTTTCTGGAAAGACTAAGTTGTCTTAAAAATAAATGCTTTCCTTCAACCTTCTATGAAAATAAATGAAGTAAACCCCCAACAACTTAGTTACTCTCTCCTTAACTGGTGAAGTACAGAGTTAGTTGAATTATTATCAAGCTAGCAGCACTTGGTTATGTTTTGACTTGACTTTGTATGAGATTGAACTGCTGATAGGAAAGGATACCGAAATATTTACAGCACTTACAGTTTTTATTGTGTAATTTGATAGTAATATTGGTTAAAGTTAGTCAGTGTGTTACTTTGTCAGAATCAGATTTAAGTTGTGACTCTAAATTTGCTCACTGTTAAAACTGGCTAAGATTTAAAAATATGCAGAAGGCTGCTTCAGGAATCTGGCTGACCTGTCTGGACTCCTCCTTAGTGGGCCCTCCTCTTTAAACTGAAATGCTCTACTGAGCACATAAAATTTTAAAATGTTGAAATAGTTATTAGAAATAATTTGTCTCAAGAATTTGTCTCATACCTATACTAGCCAGAAGTGCCAATTTTTTCCTAGTACTTTTGGCATTGAAGAATCTTCATTTCTAGTTTTTTGCTATTGAGAATTTTTTACTTAGAAGAAGTCTAAATAGCAGTGATGCCTTCACAACATTATGGTACAAAATCAAGAAATATCATATGCTGTTGCTCAATGAAAAGCTTGTTAGCCTAAGACATAAATTCTTGTTTTATATAGTCTAAGGTGGTTTAGAATTAAGTTTTTTACTGGCTCTAAAAAGCATGGTGCATTTGTAAAAGAGCTTGTCCTGGAGGACTGTAGTGTTTTGTTTTAATGTCTTCCACTAACAGTGCCTCCTACTGATATAGAAACCTGTGCACTTGAGAAGGAACTGGATATATGTTTTTGGGTTCTTCTTTTAGTTTATTAGGTGACTAACTTGTGTAGCTTTTTTGTTTTTATTGATAACAATTTTCCTATTTTTAAAGAGCTGCTAGGTAGATGTGTCAGTATTTAAACTGGATGTAAACAAGTTTAATTTGAAATTTATGTGGAAATTTTTAATTACAACATCTGGTATGCTTTCTTTTAGTTGAAGAAATAGCTTGAGTTTCCCAACTATTCCCTGCTAAGCAGAGAATGAAAGCTAACAACTTTAGTTGCCCTTAAAATTTAGTTTAACACTATTTTTGAGTATACAGATGTCGTTCAGCTTGGATCACATAAGAATTTTGTGTTCTTAGCAAAAATGTTACTTTTAAATATACAGTGCCTTTCACTTGATTCAAAATGATTTTCCATTCATATGTTCAAACACTTAATGATTTTAAAAGCTTGAAGTACTTACATTTAAAACTCTAGATAAATGTTACCAACAAGGAATTTTGTAGTACGAAGGAAGATGTTTTGGTTGAAAACAAGCCCAAATGTGATAATGCTTTAGAAAAAAAGACTGAAATAATCTAAGCTTTATAGTAATCTTTAAATAAATAATCACTTTCACAGATATATTACATAAAGTATGTTCAAAGATAGAGAAGGCTATCTTGAGGAAAGGTGTGAATGACTGTGGATTAAGAGTTTGGCACTGTATTTTATCTTCAATGGTTAAACTTTTAAACTAGTGCACTGAAAACTGTTTGAAAAAGACAGGAATATAAGAATGTACTGTGAAAACTGTTGAAATATTAATTATTTATCAAAATTAATTATTTTAAAATGTGTTAGTAATGGGCTAGCAAGTTGATACTTTATTCCCCAAGGTTGAAAAAAAAAAAAAGGAACTGAGGCTGTAAATTTCATCTTAGCAGACTGAAAATGGTTTTTTGACAGTCCTGCGTCTTAGTGTGAATACGCAGGGAAAGTGCTGTCAACTTTTTAAATTATGGGACGAACTCTGAAATTTTGAATGTATCTAATTCATTAAGGTACATGGAACTGTGCCTTTTGTAAATGTTTATTTAAACAGGTGGCTTGAGTAGTTTACATTATTGAATGGTGTTATGTAGCAGAGATTAACAGAACTCAGTTATCACTTGTGTGGAAAAGAATTGAATTGTCATGTTACTGTGTAATTGACTTGCTTAAAAATGAACAATAAATTTAATAAAATAAAGTCATTGTCTTGTTTTTTATCTTAGTGTTCTGTTTAAATTTGGATGGAATACTTGAGTAGTTTTTAAGACTTTTTTCTGTTAAATAAATGAACTTTCCTTAATATAGTTTTAGTTACAATAGTGTTAGTTTTTGTTTTTTATTTGAAGGTTTTCCCTGATACTGATTCCATTAATACAGGTGGCAAAATGTTGTTACCTATGAATTCTCTCAGGGTTCTGATTAAGATTTTAAAGTCTAAGGTGAGACTGGTCAACTTTAAAAAATGCTGAACTATATTGTGGTCATGTTGTTAATGTTGACTAGTTTCACCTTATTACAGTTAATATTTTCTTAGATTTTTATCAGGTGGACGTAGAAGCAGACAGTAAAGTGAGAAACTGTGATGAGATAAAGTTTGGGATCTTAATGGGATTTGTTGAAAGCAATAATGTTCACATTATCAAATACTTAAATAAATAAAGGACCTCTTTACTATGAAAGAGTAAGGCAAGTTTGTTCTCATTTTTTTTATACCAGGGCCACAGCCATCTCTGGGAGTTAGTTTTGGAACGCCATTCGGCTCAGGTATTGGCACTGGCTTGCAATCAAGTGGCTTAGGTTCTTCAAGCCTTGGAGGTACACTTTAACTTTTCTAATCTTTCATTGAATTATTATACAGCACATCTGAATCTCTTGCAAACCTTTAACTCCGGTAAGAGGATGATCTGTTTCAGGGAAGGAGCTGATAGTTTGGCAGTCTGCGCTTTCCAGACTTCTTTGTGCCTTGCAGAAGGAATTGCTAAGGCTGATACGAAGGCTAATAAACCATTGTAGTAAAAACTCAGGATGAAGTAATCACATAGAAGTTCTGTTCTTAAGGCTAGGGAAGTGCATCAAGTGCATCCTTTTAGAACTACAACGTGACTTAATTTTACATATATGAAAGTTAGGCATCTGAGACATTGGATCATGCTGTAGCTAATCCATAGAAGTTTTTCACTTGTATGTACAACTGCTAACTATAGGGACTAATTTCTGCTTGGATTAAGACAAGAATAAATGCTAAAAAATTACTACAGTTCTGGGATCCTGATTGCTGAAAAATATTTGCTTTAGCTGTCACTCTGTCCCTCAGTGCTGAGGTAGAAGAAAAACCCCTGCCTCAAGCTGAAAAAGCAACATTTGAAAGTGAGGAAAAAATACTTATAAAAATGTTAATAGTGCTGGTGGAGAATATATTCCAAGAGGACACATCAACTGTGAAAGAGTAGGTGGTAGTAAAAAAATCTATATTTTCATGTAAATGTAATGAATTCTCAGTAGTTGAGCTACAAGTAGAATCTAAGTGATCAGTAGGACCTAATCTGCGTGTAAATTTCCTGTCTGTATAGGTCAGGGGTTCCTACAGTGGAAGTCAAAAGACACTAGTGTCTTCTGAAACTTTTGTATGAGATCTGCAAAAAAAAATGTTTACATCTGCTGAGCGCAAGTATAATATCTTGTGGTTTTACTTGTTACATCCTCTCTGCAGCCTCAGTCCTCACCACTACATTTTGCCTCTCAGCTGAGCCTGTGAATCAGTGTTGCAATGTATTGAAACTAAACATTAGTCGGTATTGGAAAGATGTACTTGAAAGCTGCATCACTTTTACTTGAAATGATCACCTTCAAATTGTCTTTAAATCTACCAGTGTCCTTTTTCATCTGATTTTAAGTGTTTTCAGATAAACGTCTGCACACCTAAACAGGGAAAAATAACTGAGAATAATGGACTAGATGGAAAGTACTTCTGAATTTCCAGGTTATTCCCACAATGTTTTGAATACCCTAAAAAAATACAATTAAATTCTCCCTTTTCAACCAAAGAGGTTGTAGACTTACAAAGATTGTTTCTGTATATTCACCAGTCTTGCTAATGGAAATTGAAGAACATTATTCTTTCGAACTGATGGACACTTGCTTCTAGGTTTGTCATAGAGGACTAGCTTGTATTCTTTTTTTGCTAGTTCTCTGCTTAGGAAGGCATTTGCTTACATTTAATCTATTTTGCATTAATTGGAAATTTTTTTTGTCTTTTGACAAATCAAGGAGACTCCCTGAGAGAAGCAAGTGTTGAAGGAACATGTGCAAAATGTCCTGCAGGTTTGCTTTTGGAAACAAATTAGCAGAATTAATACTGAAGTGTTGTTTTTTTTTTCACCAGTCTTGCTAATGGAAATTGAAGAACATTATTCTTTCGAACTGATGGACACTTGCTTCTAGGTTTGTCATAGAGGACTAGCTTGTATTCTTTTTTTGCTAGTTCTCTGCTTAGGAAGGCATTTGCTTACATTTAATCTATTTTGCATTAATTGGAAATTTTTTTTGTCTTTTGACAAATCAAGGAGACTCCCTGAGAGAAGCAAGTGTTGAAGGAACATGTGCAAAATGTCCTGCAGGTTTCCTTTTGGAAACAAAATTAGCAGATTAATACTGAAGTGTTGTTTTTTTTTTACAGGATAACTTAAATGTTATACTCTTGAAAAAACATTTTAATCAGGGAAATTTGTACTCTTTCTATGATAAATATTCTGTGAATTTTATCTGTTATAAACGTAGAGACTTTTGCATTTATTTAAGATAAGTAGCATATAGATCCTATGCTTCATTAAATATTTGCAGACACCTTGCCTGACCACTGGTAATTTAGTTCAAACTAGACAGGACAAAAGATTCTATTACTTAAACTACTGTACATTTGAATTATATTTGCCATTATATGCTCTTAAAACTCTTATTCAATTTAAAAATTGCAGAATACTATAGAGCACTGCTTCATTGTGTGTGTTTTCAATCATTACTAGTTTTAAAATCTAAAAATTATTTCTCTAAAGGAATGGTAAACGCTCAATTTGAAGTAAAGCACAAGTATTTTCCCTGACTCTTGGAACTTAAGATCAGGACATAATTTTCTCAAATACAAATACTGTTCTTTTTGAAAGCCTCTCAAGGCAGTCGAAGTCAGTATATGTTTCTCTTATGGTTCCTTTTGTCTGGCCTCTATCTCAAGTTGCCAATACCAGCTTTACCTTTGACATAATCTTACATTAAGCACAGATTTCGAAATCTTAAAATGTCATAATACAAATATTTTACATGTCAATTACAAAATTAATAGAATGTAATTTTATTACTGCTATATGTTTATGGCTAACCTTTGTATGTTTATTTTTCCAATTAAATATTAATGAAATTCTGTTCTGTTTTTAACCTATTTTGTGGTTTCCTAGATAAAGCTGATCCCAAATAACCTGTTGGGGAGACAACTCTAAAATAAGCCAAATTTAAACTTAAGAAAACGATTACTCTGTGTTAAGCTTAGAGAATTTTTCTTTTAGACTTTGGATGAAGATTGCAACTTTCTGTGATAGAAGCAATAGCACTTGTGTCTGAGTTTTCTGATTTTGGGGCCATTTGTTTACCATTTTCTTGCCAATTTTACAGCAATTCAATAGCAATTTCATAAACTCTGGTAGTTTACTTGACCTTGTATAAAGCTTTTCCTTTACTCAGTTTTGTATTTTGAAGGAAATATTTTTCTCCAGTGCTACTTTGTTTGCACTGTTTTCTTAATACAGTGCTGTGTTGAGAAGAAAATACTCACGAGGCATTAATCTTAGGAATAAGACCACGAACTTGTATGTCTTTATTTGCTATGTCTGTAATTTTTTTGTTATGTGTCTTTACTGTTATTCTATTAGGATTTGGAAGCTCTGCCTTTGGAAGTAGTGCCACGGGAGCATCATCATTTGGGTTTGGAGCTACAACTAAACCATCTGGAAGTCTAAGTGCAGGTTGGTTTGTTTCTCTTGACTTCAAGTTTGTCTTAAAGCAAGTGTTATAATTACACTGTGGCACTCAGTCCAGGAAAATTACTGAAACAAAAGTTGCATGTGTATATAACCATTAAAGTAACTTTGCTTGCTAAGTACACATTTCAGAGCAATTTTTAGGTTCAGTTAAAAGTCTCCTAGGTAAACAATATTGAGTCAGCATTAATGTTTTTCATTTGATAGTCTCTGTCTACTTAAGAGTGGAAGCAGGAGATTAGATACATCAGAAGGGATCAGATGCAATCTGAGGCAGAGAGAAATGCAGTTATTACTGGGATGCATAGACTATACAGTTTCTGAGCTGTTTAAATTAGTGTAAAAATTTGCAACACATACAGCAGTAATTTGGCTTCCTGTAATTACAAATAGTGTTAAAATTATTTTTAGGAGCCCAGAAGGTTTCCTTAAAACTGTTTATCTGCTTATCCTTTCTATTTGCTTAGCTAGTTACAGGTATTGTATCTCTGAATGTGTCCATAATTCATTGTGTTAACCAGTTTGAAAACATTTCTGTGGCAATTTAACTACTCTGAAGTAATTTCATGTTTTTTATTTAATTTTGCTGGTGATGAGAAAATGAAAATCTGCATGCAGTTGCCTGTCAATTCAGAGGTCTGAAATCTTAGCCACTTCTAAGTTTGCGTCTCTATTTAGGAGTTTGTGAGGCAAATGGCTTACTATATAGTCTGTCCTGGAGTCTTTCTTCAAGGTCAGAGTGAAGGAGTATGTCTCTTGGGACTGGCTTTTGGTAGCATGATTCTTTTTTAAATATTTTTTGGGTTGTTGCTTTGGTTTGTTTTTTTTGTTTAAAAACTGCTGTCAATACAAACATACAAGTGGCTGTTATTTATTAGTAAGTGCCCAATACATTAGCCTGGACCAGTGTCTTGTTAGTTGCCATACTTGTAGTTTAGTTTTTCCCTTGTTTAGTGATGAGTTACACTGTCAAATTAGGCCAGTAAAATATGTTAAGCTTTGAATTGCAAGGTGGAAATAGCTCACTAAACTGGCTGTGTAACAATCCTGAATGTGTGACACCCTAGTAAATTCTTGATAGGGTATCTCTAATCTTGCAATGTGCAGTGTCTAAGCATCAGCCTTTTTTTGCTTAGTTAGTTTTTAATCAGAAATAAATGGGGAACATAGGCTGTGTATGTTTTTAACTTGTAGCTTATTTTTCCTGAGCCTGAATTACATTACCTATTATTAACATTTATAGAAGTATTGCAGCATTTCAGGCTGCTAAGTTACAAAGTACGTAATTTAGTTTTTAGTATATTTTAAAATATAAGTTAAAAACTAGTTGTATCTAGTTGGACAACTGGATTGGTTGGCCACCACGGATAATGAGGTATCAAACCAAAGTACATAGCAAGTCTGTCTTAGCTGTGTTGGTGGTGTACAGACAAAATTTAAGTGTCATTTCACTCTAGTCCTCAATTCAGGCTTTGTCGTAGTGGCAGTGCCCCCAGACTCTCTTTAGCAGCATGGGCATTGGCCCCAATAAAATTGTTTTCAGATGTCTCAAGTCTCTTCCACATTTTCCATCAATTAGTTCTTATTTTAGAATGAAAATTATAGATCCCCAAATAAAGTCCCAGTTCCTGTTGTTACTCATTTGTTGTCAACCAAAAAGGCTATTTTGAGTCAGATACTGTGAAGAGCCTTATGACTCCCAAAGTGATGGGAAAAGGAAAAAAATAATTGAATGTCTAGATATAAAACTAAGGGCTGGGGGGTGTAACTTTTTTTTTGGTGAAAACTGAGACAGTCAAGTGGGATCATGGCTGGACATACTCATCCTG